TTTGAAGCGCATAAATGTACAAATTGATAAAACATCATCATTAAAGAAGCCTTTTATCGAGATACTAGTTAAACAAAAAATGAGCATGTTCAAAACATAAATAAACAAATGTTCAGCGTACAAGTTTGTTCATTATTGTATCAAGCTTTTAAAATTTTATAAAGATTTTTCAATTACTTATAAGCATATATAAACAAGAATCATATGAACAAATATGGAGTTGTTCATCAAGCAAACTAGTTTGTTTACATCGCCAACAACAAGTTCTAAGTAAATAATAGAAAGAAGAGACAAATCATTCTTGTGGCCTATGAAGTACAAATTTTCAAAATGACACAAAATTTCCTTTAGATAGAGAGTTGCATTTGAAAAGCTTACCTATTATTTATAACCATGGTCGTATCAAAAAATATTTAAAAATGATGATAGTATAAAAAGAAAAAAAGTATGATTTAACAAAAAAAAAGTAGTGATATACTAGAAGGTGGGCAAACAATAGTGGCATATTGCTTCCATTACAAGAGATTTTGTTTTTGAGTTATGAAAACACTGCTATTGTAACGAAATAGTAAAGCCTTGAACATTTACCCTTCCCCAAGAGCTACTTAAAGAGTTGCACCCCATCAAGATAATGTTGCTACAAAAAAAATGCTTTTAAATGTCATAAAATCCAAAATGGTTGCTTACATGATCAAGAAGCGGAGATATAGCACATGCATTTACCGGACGCTCTGTCACATACGTCTTGATAAGAGTTAATGTTCTTGAGTCCCAAAGCTTACAAAAAAAACAAACAAAAATCATTAGGGGCACTAAAAAAACAAAGCAGAAAAAAAATGCAATTAACATTAAAAAAAAGTTATTAAAACAAACCTTAGCTGATTTATCCAAGGAACCTGTGAGGAAATGAGAGCCATCAGCAGACTTTACTAGTGAAGAAATAGTTTTTTGATGGCCAGTCTCTTTGTCCGACTCCTTCAAAAGCTGGCCAGTCTACAAAATGAAGGAAAAACAAATCAGAAACATACAAAACTCTGAAAGAAAACACAAAAGGCAATCCAATCCTATTCTTTCATTCATAAATCCAAATAAGAATGCATATTGGCAGGACCCTAACTAGCCATATTTTGGGAAGATATATTTTATAACATTACATACAGGCCAAAAGCCTAATGGAACACTATCACAATCTCATTCAACACCTCTATGCAATCTCAGTTATAAAGCAGATCGCATTGCCATAATTATGGATGATATAATATCAGTATAACTTTCTAAACTCACAACCACAAAAATAGCAAGGAAACATATGCATGTGGGAAAAAAACCATCAGTTTAAGATAAAAGCTCAAAGTAATACAATAGATATAAAAATCCACTAATATGAAAAGGCAAAACTAAACTGACCTCAGAATCCCATATCCTGACAAATGTATCTTCACCAGCACTTATAATAGTCTTATTTAAAGGTCCCCAAACAGCCCTATTGATCCTCCCTTGAGGGCCCTTAATCGTAAGAATAGAATCACCAATCTCTATTAAACAAAACATAATAAAACAGAGATCTAAGTAACATTTTCACTATCCAAAATCAAGAACAATATTAAGGAAAATAAGCAAACCTTGCATAAACTAGTCATTTAAGTATCAATTTTGATCTGAAGGATTTTCAATAACTAAAATAACCATAATTTGTAGAATTCATGAAAAAAAAGCATGTTACATATGGGGGTTAACCATATCCTGCAAGTGACATAAAATATAAAAGTTCGTTTTATGTAGTCAAATCAGGAACATGAAAGCACTAACAAGAATCTCTTTAAAATATTCTATTGTTTATGTATGTTCAATTGATAATTGAGAGATCACAAGTCAACTTGGATGATGGCAGGCCACTACCAAAATCAAGTATCATATGCTATCTACATTTACAGATCTTTTTTGGAATAATTATAGACAAACTTAACAGCAATTGCCATGGATGATACAACATTGAAAGCAATGTCATTTAACTATTAATTATAAATAATGAAATAGGGTACTTCCATTTTATCTGAATAGCATTGAGCAAACGAAAAAACATCAAAGAAACATTATTAATACTAAACGAAGGCCAAATGTATTAAGAAGAAATTCATATGTTTAGAAAGAATTTTCATCAAGCATGACCTATCAGATGCGTTAGAGTCAATTTTATAAATCAATACAAACTATATCTCAGAAGAATTGATCCGGACAGAAGGAAAAAGCAGAAGAACAAACTACAAAGTTGCCTTACTTTATAAATCCGTTCTTTCATAATAAAAAAATTCTCCCAGAATGCAATGTTAAACCATTAACCTAATCATTTAAAAAATGGCTTTAGATCAGTAATTAAAACATGGAAATGAGAAATTCTAAGTTTTTTTTTTTTTTTTCTAGAAGAAAGGGCGCTGGCGCTTCCTTGCCAAAACAACCCAATCCCAACAAAAGACATAAATTGGAGCCACTCATTAGCCGATGCTTGATAAAATAAAAAAGAATAAGCAGCACAAAGTAAGTAGACAAAAATATAAAGTGCAACGCATAGTACAATCCAGAGATGCCCCAGCTTCGTCAATCACGCGATATTATTGAACAGAACAAAAATCAGAACAGGAAAATCGCAGATTTGACAAAACGTATAAGAGTATGAAAACATACGAGAAACATCACAGCACCAGACAGCTCCGTTGTGACCTCGATAGGTTCCGAGTCGCTCGCCATTATCCGCAAACCAGACGGTTGGGTTATGATCTTTGGCGCAAGAGAACAGAAGATCGCCCTCACGGTTGTATTTGAGAAAAGTCAGGGGCCTCTCGTGCCCCTTCATCAGAATTGGCCTCATCTTTCTCCTCCCCTCGCTCTCTCTCACTCTCAGCTCGATCTTCCCCGACGGCGTCACCCGGTACAAAACCCTAAGGCGGTGAACGGTATTTAATGGGCCACTGTTGCGGGTAGCAGCACACGGCTGTATACAAGAAAAGTTGCAATGCTCATTCCGTACTCCGATGAAATTTTATTTAGGGCTAAATGCTAAATTTTATCTCGGCGCTAAATAAAAAATAAAAAAATTTATATTTTAATGTATGACCAGATTCGATTCGGGTAACACTTGAATAATATACAATAACACGTGAATAACACACAATAACATGAATAAAACGGAATGAATATTCTCTTTTGTTACAGGATAGATTTTAATTTTTTTTCTTCACTGCCCGTGACATGATTTTATTGGAGTCTGCACGTAACTCTACGTCGTGCGGAGTCCGCACGTAACTCTACGTGCAGAGCCCTGATGCAATATTTTATCTGTGTTTTAGATGTTATTGTAAGTTTGGTTGTGTAAGTTATCAAAATTGAAAGTAAGATTTACATCAATTTTTTCATACAAGTCATGGACCTTGTGGATGCAAAAGTTTATTTCAAGTTTAAGAAATTAAAATGGTGGTAATTTTTTGTGTGATATAAAAATCTTTGGTAATATAAATGCAAAAGTTAAAGTATAGGTGCTAGATATGCATATACAAAAATTGGGTGGACGTATGTAAATGCCCAAAATGAAAATATACATAATATATTCTATTATTATGGTGTTTTTTGCGGTATTATTGTGATGTTATTGAGATATTATTGTGAAATTGTTCTGGTGTTATTTGCGTAGTATTGCGACGGTGTCGGTCGTCAAATCGGAGAAAGTTGTTGGTTTAAAATATATTTAATATATATATAATTTTGAAAAGTAAAATTTTAAAATTTGAAAATATGGGACATAACCGATCTCATACAGACAATATTTTAAATAAATGAGCACAACACTACAAGCCATACATTTATCTTGTGGAATAGACACGTTACTTGATAGTGAGACTCGATTAAATAAACTAAAGAATTTATGATACTGTTTTGGTCTGCGAAATATTTTATGTTAACCGACAAGTTCTCATATCTAATATAAAAGATTTGACAAGGTTTATATTACATAGGTTCTTAAAGCTCACTATCAGGGCAAGCCCCAATTGTTAATTACATCTTAAATGACCGAAATAATTCAAGAAAACTTTCGATTTAAATCAGTTGTATTTATCTTCATGAATCTCAAAGTTGAGGATTTCAAGGTTAGACGAAGGGAATTTCAAATTGGAAAGATTGAATAGGAACAATTATTTTCGGAATCCAAATGAAAAAAACTAGGAGATCTCACGGATCCTGAGGAGAACCTCGATAACTTCCCAAGCTATATTATGGTTTGACTTCAATTTCGAGGAAATATTATTAGATGTTCATCATGTCAATTTTTATTATTTAGGGCTTACACTTGCTTGACACTGATCATGCAAATAGTCTGGAAGATATGAGGGTTTAATTTAAAACGAAAGACGACCTCAGAGCCTAATACAAGGTAGGGTTTATATTGCACAATATGGTTGTGCGAAGGTCTAAAGATAAGTTGAGGATTTATGTCGTACTAGATGAGCTACTTCAAAATTCTATGATTTGTTATTTAATTTTAAGGAAATGTTTGTTGATGACGATTTCGTTTGCTCTCTCGAAGATGTTCTTTTATCACCTCATTTGTTCTCTCGAAGATTTTCTTATGTACGTCACCATCTTGCTGCCCGCAGAGTTTGCTCCAAGCTCCTCATCGAAGTGACAACTCCAGGTGCAGTATTTTATAGTTTTGTAGTTTATATGTCAGGTTTGTTAATGCTTAAGTGTTTTGAGGGGATTTTAATTTATGTTAAGCGACATTTGTTACGATTTTAAGGTTCCATCATCTCTGCACCACTACTTTTATTGAGTTTACTTAGTTTAAACAAGTTATCAAGCTCATTTAAACAGGAGAACTTCTGTTACCAGCCGTAAATTACCTCATCCGAGAAATTTTCGTAAACCTAAAAGGAGTATATTATGTTCGTTCATTATTTTGAAAATGTAGATTTAATTTTGAAAGTGTGTTTTTGTTGTTTTCAATTTTGGTTTAGTTTTGCATATAAAGTAAATAAATGCAGGTAGAAAATGTTGTAAGGTAAATAGGAAAAATGTAGTGCATAAAAACGTAAATGCATACATGGCCCTCCACTACCGCTGTATGATTAGGATCATAAAGCATAGTATAGTTTGTAGGGAATTTAAATAAATTAAGGGTAAATAAACAGGAACATTAAATATGAAAAATTGAAAAGTGAGTCGTAAGAAAAAACGAGTAAGTTAAAAAAACCCTTAGTCACATATGAAAGACCGGGACTACTATTTTACAGTACTGTATTTTACAACGCATTTCGCCGAGGTGAAACTAGTTCACTAACACACCTATTAGTGGTTCGAGCCCACACAAAAACGAAGAAATCCTATAGACTCCTGAACTTCTCTTTTTCAGGATGGTTAAACAGACGATCCTGGAATCAAAAAATAGTTGACTTTACTTCCCCAAGGAAGAAATGAGCAAAGCATGCCAACATAAGAAAGGTAATCTTGCCCATGAGAGACATAGACACACTACCAATGTATGAAGACAAGATTTTATGATCTTGATAGAGAGAGAAACTCCTCCCCAGCAGAGTCGCCATAAATTGACGGTCACCAAATCGCACCGAGCCCCCCCCTCTCACACTCTCTATATATATATATATATATATATATATATATATATATATATATATAGTTTAGAAAAGTAGTATTTTAATTTTGAAATTACGAGACTGAACAGATCTCATATCTGCAATAGTTTAAATGATCGAGCACAACACCCAAAGCGATGCATCTATCCCAAAGAATAGATATACTACTTCTTGGTGAGACTCGATTAAATAAAATAAAGAATGTATGACATATGTTTTAGTCTACGAAAACCTTTTATGTTGAACGACAAGTTCCTCTATCTAATATGGAAGATTAGATAGGGTTTATATTAAGCTGGATAGTTAAAGTTTTCTATAAGGGCAAATCCCTATAGTTAATTACATCTTAAATGATCGAAGTCACTTAAGAAAACTCTCGATTTAGATAAGAAAATAACGCCTTCATAAGTTTCAAAAGTTTAGGATTCTCAAGGTCAAACAAAGGGGTGTCAAATGGGAGAAGGTCAAATTTGAAGCATTTATTATGGAATCCAAAAGAAGAAGATCATGGGATGTCACGGATCCTGAGGAGAACATTGTGACTTCCCAAGCTATCCTATAGTTTGGCTTCAATTTTGATGAGATGTTATTAAATTTTTAATTCTGCCAATTATTATTATATAGGGCTTACATTTGCATGACATAGTCATATAAATAGCATGGAAGATAGGAAGGTTTATGTCACAACAAGTGACAATCTCATAGCCTAAGGCAAGTTAAGGCTTAAATTGCACAACATAATTGTGCAAAAGCCTAAAGATGAGTTGAGAATTTATGTCGCACTAGGCATACAATCTCGAAGTCCTATGGCTTGTTATTTAATTCTAAGGAAATTTGTTGTTGAAGATCCACTTGTCGTGTTGCCCACGGTGTTAGCTCCAAGCTCGTCAAGTAGTAATTCTAATATCTAAGGTTCAAAAGGTTTAACCACATGTATATTTCAATGTTTTGTTTTGTTATGTTCAAATGTCTTATTTGGGGGAGGGAGGTTAAAGTTGATTAGAGCTACTCTGGTTAAGATCTCACGGTTCCCTCGTTATCGTGCCGCTATTTTCTTTTGAATTCATTTAGTCTAAATAAGTTGTTAAGCTCATTTAAACTGGGGAGATCTCGTTAGCAATCGTGGGTTACCTCATCCGAGAGACTCCCATAATCCAAAAAAATGTATTGTGATATTATGTTATTTTTTGTTTTTGTTTTGAAAATGTTTGTTTAATTTTGAAATTTTTGATTGATTTTGAAAAAAAAATGTTTTGATTTAACATCACATGCAAATTTGTATCAAGTTTTGTTGATTAACGTAAACAAGTGCAAGTAAGAAAAATGCTAGAAAGTAAATGAGTAAAATTGTTGGGCATATAATGTAAATGCGTACTTGGCATCTTCTCGCTAATCCCGCTGCATGGTTAGCTTTTGCAGTATAAATAATTTTGCAGGAAAGAAAACAGTGAAGAAAAGGTTCAAGCTACCCCTACTGAGTCTTAGGTCACAACCTGATGGTTCCCTAGAAGTTTTAATGGATCATTTTATTGAAGAAAGTATAATAGGTTCATTTGTCCTTCACAATATCCAAAAGATCATAAAGGTGTTTGGAGCATGACCCCAAGCAACCTTTAGAGTCCTTCGAAACGTTCCGAGTTCATTTGAACTTATTATATTGTTCAAGTAATCATCTGAAGTTAAATTTAAGGTTTGATTCATTAAGCTACCCTACTCAGTGAACCTGATGTTTTAATTATTTCATGAGAGGGGTACTTAATTAGTCAATTAATGTTTCATTTAAAAGTTATATAAGTTGATACCCTTAGGGGACAATATTAGGTTATTAAGAATTTCTTGTATATAATTAAAGTGCTTGTAGTGTTTGCAAAATGTTCATAATTAGTTATTTTTCTTTCCTAAAACTCATTAAGCAAATCCAAAATAAGCCTAGTTCACTTCTAAGCCCTTAAGACTTATGAGTGGATAAATCCAAAAATTTTAGGGATATTAAATTATGTGGTATCCTTAATCTTTATCAATGATTATAATATCACTCAAACAATAAATTGAGGTTTTAAATTAATAAGTTACCATTTTCCAAAATCAAACCACTCACCTTATGATCACTTAACGCAATCAACTTCCTAATTATAATAGTTAATGAAAATTACAATTATGCCCTTACTGTAAAAAAGTGAGGTATTGGTTTCTGTCATTTAATCCCTTGTTTTTCAATCATCCAAAAGAGCTCATTGTAATCCAAATTAACCTTTTACCCTTTTAATTAATTCTAAAATTTAATGAAGCCATTAAAAAATCTAAAATTATCATTTTGCCCATTGTGCTTTCCACTCCATAGCTCATTAAATATAACTCTAATGACT